TAAACATCTTTCTGGTATTCTTTGCTTTGAGCCAAGATCCATCTGACATCAGCAATGATATCCCTCATTCCATGTCTTCTTCTGAATCCAGCTTGCATTTCTAAAAGTTCTCTGTCAATACACTACTGCAACCGTCTTTGAATTATCTTCAGTAAGATTTTACTTGCATGTGATATTTATGATATTGTTTGATAATTTCAACATTCTGTGAGATCACCTTTCTTTGAAATGGGTACAAATATGGATCTCTTCTAGTCACATGGCCAGGTAGCTGTTTTCCAAATCTCTTGGCATAACCGAGTTAGTGCCTCCAGTGGGGCATCTGTTTGTTGAAACATTTCAATGGGTATTCCGTCAATTCCTGGAGCCCTGATCTTTGCTAATTCCTTTGGTGTAGCTTTGACTTCCTCCTTCAATACCACTGGTTCTTGACCATATGCTAACTCCTGAAATGGATGAACATTGACCAATTCCTTTGGTACAGTGACTCCGTGTATTCCTTCCACCTTCTTTTGATGTTTCTTGCATCATTCAATATTTCGCCCATAGAATCCTTCAATATTGCAACTCAAGGCTTAAAGTTTTTCTTCAGTTCTTTCAGGTTACAGCATATTTTATAAATATACTTGCTATTGGGGGGAAGAAGCCCCTTTTTCCTGGCTTCACCCTACTTGTGAAAACAATCTTTACAAGTGAATAATCCACAAGCAAGCATCCCCAAGTGATCCGCAAGCAAGCAGTGGTGTTCCATGGCAGCGGCTTGACAAACTAATTTAATAAGATGTCAATCACACAAGCTAACACAGTGTCAATCAAACAAGCATACAAGCCTTTACTGAAAGCTAGAGTATGTTTCCATAGGAGAAACAGACCTCATCCTGTGAGTGGGAAGGGTCCTTAAAAACAAGGAGTGTCTCCCAAACAGTGGAGACTGGTCTTTCCTGCAGAACAGAAAGACACCCAACAGCCTAACTTACTGGTTTTTATACTTCCTGAAAGGGGTGTTCTCAAGGTGGGGCTAGTCCTCTTGAGTGACAGGACCCCGATTAATTGGCCAAATCTTATAGGCAGTCAGTTGCAGGTGTTAGCTCATTAACCTCCTTAAATACTCCCAGGTCTGTGGTTGTTCTGCTTCACTTTAATTGACTAAATCTCACAAGCAGTTGGCAGAGATTTACAGGTGCTAGCTCATTAACTTTCTTAAATATTCCACCTCTCTCTTCCTTTTCTCCTCCCTTCATGCCTGCCCTCAGGGCAGGCAGACCTCCTGTTCTAACATATTCCTGCCTAACATATTTATTTTGTTCTATAGAGATGACCATGGGAGACTGGACTATGAATAGCACAATGACAGACTGTAAAATGAGAACATTAAGCCATTTGTTCAACATTTACTAAGCAGCCATAAAGTGCTTAGCACTCCTAGCTACAGGATGTTGGTCCTAACCACTAGTAAATAATTATACTCTAAGAGGGAATGTCAAACAACTATGGGGCTAATTCTTTTGTAAGATAGAATGTAGATGAGTGTATAATACAAAGAAAGTACTGTTACAAGAAAAGGGGTGACTCACGTTTCATGTGGAGGATTTGAAAAGACCTCAAGAATGTATCTGAAATGAGGCTTAATGAGTAAGTAGAATTTTGAGAGGAGGGACAAAAAATACTTCATGTTGTAGGAAAAGAACTATCAGCAAAAAAGAAGATAGAGCTTCACCAAAGACAACATGCAAGCAGCTGACAAACACATGAAGAGTTGCTGTCAATCATTAGCCATTAGACACATGCAAATCAAAATTACAATGAGATACCATTTCATCCCTGCAAAAATGGCACTTGCAGCACAGTGAATTGCTTAATATGGCCCTTCTAGCCATCATCCTCCATTTTGTGATGTATTGTAAATCCTAATCCCTATCTCTGTTTAGGGTAGAATGTATCTTGAGATTCACCTTGCCAGAGGGTGTGACTCAAGTCACCACCTATTTTGTGATGTATTGTAAATCCTATTCTCTATGCCTGTTTAGGAGCTCTGGTAGCTCAGTGCCTAAGACACTTGATTGCTAAACAGAAGGCTGGCAGTTCAAATCCACCAGCCACTTCTCAGAAGGAAGGTTGGGCAATCTACTTCTGTAGTGATTAGTGATACTGCCTCGGAAACCCAAGGAGGGGTCACTATGAGTTGAGTCCACCTCGACAGCACATAGCAACAACAACAGGTTAATATCCTGGGAGTGTTTGCTCTCTCTTGCTCTGGTTCTGCATTTGGTTCCTCATCGTCTGACCCCTGGACTTGAGATTAAAAAAACAAACAACAAAAAAAACACCTCACTGCTCTGGAGTGGGATCCGACTGATAGCAACCCAAGTGGCTGGTAGGTTTGAACCACCAGCCTTCTGGTTAGCAGTCAAACGCCTTAGGCACTATGCCACCAGAGCTCCCTCACTTGAGATAGCAGCCGTCATCTGACCTGCTGATTTGGGTTCACCAACTGTTGCAACCACGTGAGTTGGCAAAATCCTCCAGACCTACCCAAAGAACTGGGACGTGCCAGCCTCCCAGCCTCCACCACCAAGACGTGAACCGTTTCCTTGAGAATCTGTGAGTTCTGTGAGACATGACAGTGAACTATGGAATCTTTAGATAGGAGGCAGATTATTGAGGGCAGAAAGAGGAGTTAATGTCAGAGATGAAAGAGTGGCAGGGCAGTTTGGAAAAGCTGGACATTCGGGAAATCTTTCATCTCTGCCTCATAGGGACAGGCCCTGTGCTGATCTTTCTAAGAGAAATTATTCAAACACACTGATGAAAAAAACAGAAAACAAAAAATGCTGGTGAGTTTGTAGGGAGAATGGAACTCTTATGCATTGCTAATGGGATTGTAAAATGGAAATATATACACTATGGAAAATAGTATGGGACTTCCTCAAAAAGCTAGAAACAGAAAATCTATGATCCATCAATCCCGTTCCTAGGCATATATTCTTGAGAAATAAGAACAGTTACATGAATAGACATATACACAGCCATGTTCACAGCAGCAATATTTAAAATAGTAAGAAGAAGGAAACAACCTAAGTGTCTATCAATAGATGAATGGATAAAACAAACTCTGGTACATACATACATACAACAGAATATTACACAATGATAAAGAATAATGACAAGTCCATGAAATGTAACATGGATGAATCTAGAGGACTGAAACTGTTGTTATTGTTCTTAGGTGCCATTAAGTCACCTCCGATGGAGAGTGAAATCAGTCAGTCATAACAGGACAAATAAGGTACAAAAGCAACAACAACAACAAAAACGCACTGCCGTCGAGTTGGATCCGACTTACAGTGACCCCTTCTTGGATTTCCGAGGCGGTATCACTACAGGAGATTGCCCAACCTTCCTTCTGAGGAGTGGCTGGTAGGTTTGAACCATCAGCCTTCTGGTTAGCAGTCAAATACCTTAGGCACTATGCTACCAGAACTCCTAAATAATGTATACTACTACTTTTATAAAAAGTCAAGAATAGAAGTTCCAGTTAGATGGCAGAATAGGCAGAAAGATTGCATAGACCCTCTTCAATGAAGAAAAGGGGAACCGAATGCTTCAACAAAGAAAAGAGGAACCAAATAACACAGATACAGAAGATTTCCCAAATTTATGGATCATTTAATATAGTATTTTGACCAGATACCATGGAACATACTATTGGAAATAGTAGTTTTAGTCCTCTTCTCTTCAATGCTCTTTACTCCAACCACAAAAGACTGCCTTTCTCATAACCATATTATGCCATGCACTTTTTTTTTCCTTTAAACAATTTATTGTATTTTAGGTCAAAGTTTAAACAGCAACTTAGTTTCTCATTTGTTCTGGTTACCTAGTACCACTCTGACAAGAATATACCACAAATGGGATGCCTTGAACAAACATGTTTATTCTCTTACAGTTTGGAGGCTTTAAGTCCAAGTTCAAAGTACCAGGCTCTAGGTGCTGGATGAAAGCCCCTCAACCTTGGGCTTCAACTCTGCCTCCTGTTCCCAGCCCACTGAACTTAGAGACTTTTCTTCACTCTGACAGCGGCTGACTGCTGAGACTGACAAGACCAAGGTTGACAAGTAAAAAAGGCACAGTCCCTATGTTGCCAAACCACACAACAGGCCATTAATTCAAGTCCATTGAAAGTCCTAAGATTGGCAGAGCATGTTAGATTGCTGAACAATGACTCAGCTACATGCAGGGTTCAAACATGCCATAAGCTAGAGACCATTCCAAAAGCTGTTTCTTATATATGGGAAGGAGATCACAAACCAATAGCAGCTTTTCAGGTGTTCCAATAGATTCCATCATGGAGTTAATTACCAATCTAACCATGAGGAATAACTACATTCAGTTGCCCAGCCAGTAAACCAGGCCCAACCAAGTTGACACACAAACTAAACCACCACACCATTCAACAATTTATAGTTTTTTTCTGTGACATTAATTGCTATCCTTACAACATGTCAGCTTATGTTGTTATGTGCCATTGAGTCATCTCTGACTCATACTGACCCCTCCTCGCGTTTCTGAGGCAGTATCCACGGAATTA